ACACACCCTGGGGAAAGGGGACACCGGGGACAGAAGCCACCCACCCCCTCCTACCTCCCGGAAAATGATCTCGAAGGCCTGGGGGGTCCGCGGGGGCAGGTCGGGTTGATGGGCCACCAGCGTGATGTCGTTGCCCTGTGGATGGGGGGGTCAGGGGGGTCCTGGTGCCACCCCCCTGTCCCTGTGCCACCCCCCTGTCCCTGTGCCACCCAAAGAGCCGCCCCGTACCGTGATCTGGATGTCGGCGTCGGGCTGGGGGGCTCCCGGGCCCCCCGGGGTGTAGGTGAGGGTGTAGCGCAGCCGCCCACCATAGGAGCCCACCTGGACAGGGACATGGGAGTGGGATGGGAGCGGGAAGAGAGGAGGAAAGGGAAGAGGAAAAGAATAGGGATGATGATGGGGATGGGGTGGGACAAGACAGGGATGAGAAAGGGGAAAGTATAGGGAAAGGGAAAGGGGTAAAGGGGAAAAAGACAAGGTGGAAGAGGAGAGGGGAAAAGAGGAAACAGGGAAGGGCGAGGGGAGAAGGGGAAAGGAAAGGAAGAAGGAAAAAGGAATAAAGAAGAAGCAGAAAGAAAGAAGAAATGGGAAAAGGAAGCAGCAAAAGGGAAGAAGAAAAGGGCAGAGATGAAGAGGCTGTGCCCACCTCCCCTCCAGCAGCACCCAGGGGTGCCCGTGGGGAGGGGGTGCAGCCCAGGCTGCCTGGGTGCTCCTATGAGCACCCCGTCCCCCTGGGGGAGTCACCCCCTTACCTTGTCCCCCTGGTAGGGGGGTGGCAGCTGCCAGTAGTAGGAGTCAGGGGGCAGCTCCCCGAAGCGCTCGTAGGTCAGCACAGGGTGGGGGGTGCCCGGCTGGACCCCAAAGCCGCTGCCCACGCGGGTGCTGCGCTGCCGGTTCACCAGGGCGAACCCCTGGGCATCCCCTGGAGCAAAGGGCGTCTGGACCTGCAGGATTGAGGAGGTCAGCGGGGTCAGGGACACTGGGAGCACCCTGGGGGCGCCCTGAGGGCACCCTGGGGCACGGGGGACACTCACAGTGCCGCGGGCCAGGCCGGTGCTGGCGCAGTGCTGCACGATGCCCATGCAGAAGCAGGGCAGGCACCCGGCCGGCTCGGCCGCGCTCAGGTGGAAGTGGTGGGCACGGCAGGTGGCACAGTGGGGACCCTCCACGTTGGCCTAGGGGGACACGGGGTGTTGGTGACATCGCCCTGTGGTCCCTCCTCGGGTCGGGAGGGGCACACGGGGCTCACCTTGCAGCGGCACTGCCCGCTGGCATCGCAGCCCTCGCCGGTGCTGCCACGGGGGTCACACTGGCACTGCCCCCCAGGGACGCTGGGCACTGGAGAGGGGGACACATACACGGAGTCAGACACAAACCCCCTCAGTGCCCCCATGGGGACACCGCTCCCCCCGTCCTCGTGACCCTCACCTTGGCATGGCTGTCCCCGTGGAGGGTCCCCCACGTACCCGGGCAAGCACCTATGGGGGGACACACCAAAAAAAGGCAGTGAGGAGGGGACTCACCCCAAAGCCACCCCCCAGCCCGCCCTGGTGTCCCTGTCACCTCTCGCAGAGGCGCCCGCTGTGCCCTGGGGCGCAGGCGCTGCAGGTGGGCTGCCCGTCCGTGTCCTCAAAGCAGATCTTGGTCACCCTGCAGAGGGGACAGAGGGGCAGGTGACACCCTGCCGGTGTCCCCAGGGCTGTGGGGGAGCAGGGGGTGGCACCTACTGGGAGTCCCCATGGGGCCCGTGGCAGGGACAGGGCTGGCAGTCGCCTGGGGTGCCCCGGGTGGCATCGCCGTAGTAGCCGGGCTGGCACTTGTCACAGCGCGGTCCCTCCGTGTGATCCCGGCAGCCCTGTAAGGCACGGGGGTGATGGCACCGGTGTGCCCACCGTGGGGGAGCCCGGGGTGTCCCCTGGCCGTGCCCAGCTCACCTGGCAGACGCCGGTGTCGGGGTGGCACTCGCTGGCGTGGCTGTGGCACTGGCACGGCTCGCAGGTGCCCAGGTAGAGCCCGGCGCTGCTGCGGGTGTAGCCGGTGTCACAGTCCTAGGGGGGACACGGTGACAGCGGGGTGGGACATGGCTCGGTGGGGCCGTGAGGGGACCCCAAGAGTGCTGAGGGGACCCTGGGGGGGTCTCACCTGGCAGGAGGCCCCGCGGTACCCGGGTGGGCAGGCGCAATCCTCCACCTCCAGCGCGGGCGGGCGGCCGGTGGCGTGGGGCACTGCCACGTCCAGGCTGACGTCGGCCAGGCTGCGGGGACATGGGGCACGTCACCACCGCCCTGCCACCCTCCACGCCCCCTCCTGTGCCCCCCACCCCCAGGCACCCACCTGCTCTGCTCCGGCTGCTCTGAGTAGGATGCCCGGATCATGAGCAGGTCCACGTCGGCCAGGGCCATCAGGAGGTGCTCGCGGGTGGCATCGTGCCCGTCCGCGCGGCGCCAGGCGCCCTGTGGCACACCGGGGTCACAGGGGTGCTGCCGTCCCCCACTGCACACAGCCCGACCCTCAGGCACCCAGGGTGACCCCCCATGGCATCCAGACTGACCCCTGGGGCACCCATTCCCTCTCCTCCCACGTCCTGCCCCACAGCACCCACTCCAGGTCCCCATAGGACCCAATCCAATCCATGGGGCACCCAGTCTGACCCCCCATAGCACCCAGTCCAACCCGCCCCCAGCACCCTGTCTGACCCCCACCATGACACCCAGTCCAATCCATGGGGCACCCAATCCCACCCTTCCATGGCACCCAGTCCAATCCCCCAGCCCAACCCCCCCATGGCCCTCAGCCTGACCCCTGGGGCACCCAGGCCCTCCCTAAGCACCCAGCCCACCCCATGCCCCATGGCACCCAGTCCAGCCCCCCATGGGACCCACCCCAGTCCCCTGTGACACCCAGTCCAACCCCCCTGACATTCAGGCCAATGCTTGGGGCACCCAAACCCACCTGTCCATGGCACCCATTTCACCCCTGCCCCATAGCACCCAGTCTGACCCCACAGCACCCAGTCCAACCCCCAGGACACCCCATGTCCCCATGCATCCCCCTTGCCGGTGTCCCCGCTGACGTGGCCCCCCCTCACCTCTCGGATGGGCACGGTGACCGTGGTTGGGACCCCTGCGGAGGGGGTGGCACTGGAGAAGTGCTCCAGGAGGATCCCGTTGCCCTGGAGCAGGACATCGGGGTGC